GGGTGAGTGGGGCGTAGGGGCAGTCAGGAAGGCTTCCAGGGGTGTCAGGGTCGTCCCCACCTCCTGCAGTTGAGACCACAGCAGTGTCACAGGCTTCGGGGCTCATGGGGTGAGCCAGCATTGGCTGGACATGTGGAATGACCTGGACACAGGAACGGCCTCTGGGAAGACGGGCTGCGAGTCCCCCTTTTGCTGAGCATGGCCTGTCCCTTTCAGGACCTGTTTGATGCAGCTGGGTACTACCAGCTGGCTCTGGTAGCCGCCGTGGACCTGGGCAACAAGAAGGCACAGCTGAAGATCTACACGCGGCCGACCACCATCTCCCACAACTTCCACAACTTCCTCCTGGACTGCGAGAAGTCGCTCTTCTTCTACCAGAAGGCCAGGACCTTCGCCGCAGAGCTCAACGTCCACAGGGTCAACCTACCTCCTCTGCCACTCTGCGGGTGGGCCCCCTGGTTGGCCCCCAGCCACCCTCGCTGAGGACAGCGTCCAAGGGAGTGGGTTTTGTGCAAGGAGGATGATCTCCTGCCTCTCCTGGTGTCTCCCGTGGCTCATTTTCTGGGTAATGGAGGCATGAAAGCAGGGTTCAAATAGCAATAAATGTGGTTTTTCTGCAATAACATACCGAAGTCCCCAAGGCATCCTTCCCTGTGTGCTTCCTGGGCTGTGTCTAGGGGCCAGCTCCTTCCCTGGTGGCAGCCCTCTGATCTTGGGGATGAGAAGAACCCTGAGTCCAACAGACCTGGGCCAGGTCACCATGAGCCTCGGTTTCCTCGGCGGCCAGAGGGGAGATGGTGGTGGAACTCCCTGGGCAGCTCCCTGCTCTCCCTGCTCGGAGCTCTTGCTGTAGGTCTCGTGCCACCCTTGCCTTTAACCTTCAGGCCACAGTGCCCGGATGTGGGGGCTGCTAGTGTCCCTGTTCGCCATTGAAGAAACAGAGGCACAGAGAGGTTAGGTGTCTGGCCCACCGTCACACAGCAGGTAGGGGCGGAGAGGCAGAGCCCAGTTCACTGACCACCACACCACCCTGCCAGCCTGCAGTCAGGAAGGTGTCCCCCATCAGGACCGAAGGTCAGCTCCTGGACCTCTCTTGTGGTGTCAGGACAGCCACAGGCCAATGAAGGTGGCCCCGGGGATCCCTTTCTCAGTGTCCTCTGCTCCCAGACTTGGTTGGGCCGAGCCTGGCCAGTCCCACCTCTGGTCACTGGTCAGCCCTGCGGGAAGTGAGATGCAGGGATCTCCGTCTGTGTAGATGCTGTTACCCAGTATTGAAAGCCTTATCTGGGCTGTCCCCCAGCCATCCCCACGTACCCCTCCCGTTCCGGCCCCTGGCCGTCATCCCAGTCCCAGGAATCCCAGGTTTTCCTTCTTGGAATCTCTTGGCCCCAGGGAACACAGCTCACACGGTCTCTTTGCCAGTTTACGGCAAGAAAACCGAGGTTCAGAGACGATGGGTGTCCACGTGATTCTCACATACACTGCACTCTCCCAGGTCCCTTTTTTAAACACTTTAAATGAGGTGACTTTCACATCGCATGCAGTTAACTATTTCAACGCGGTTAATGTGCTGGCATTTCTGCATTCACAGTCCTGTGCAACCACTCACGCCATCTAGTTTCAAAATGTATTCATCTCCCCCAGAAGAAACCTCCCATCCTCACTAAGTAGTTACCCCTCCTTGGTATCCCCCAAGCCCCTCGTTGAATGGAAGGGGAAACTGAGGCCCGGAGAGAGACTTGCCAGTGGGCGGAGCTCTGATAATAAGGAATCAGGCACCCATCTGCTGGTTCAGCCCTGGGTTGGTTTTCCACCCAGCAGAAGTGACAGAGCCAGGAGGTTCTGGGACCCCATGCTTGCAGCCAGAGCCCTGCCCCGAGCCTCCCCACCAGGGGGTAGCAGAGAACTTTCCAGAACCGGCCGCGGGGCTGGTGGGAAGCAGCCGGTCAGAGCTGCTGACAAACCTCACGAAGACCCCAGATCGCTGTCTCTGTGGGTTGGGCTTGGGAATTGGAGAGGAGGCCGCATGATCGGAAACGTGAAGACAGCACGGCCTGGCTGGAGGAGCCGGAAGCGCCGTCACGTTGACTCAGGACACAGAACTCCTGCCCGCCGGGCCGGGCCTGCAGCCATTCTTCTCGGGGTGGGGTCCGCAGGTTCGGCTTGCTCTCGGCCCCCGACCTGCCTCAGAGTCCGGGGGTCTTTGGAACTCTGCCTCCCCATCTCCACCCACCCTGGCTGGTGCCATAGTTTCTGGTGGTATTTGGGTAGCAGTACCTGGCTGCATCAAGCGGGTCCTGAAGGGGGACAGGCCATGCTCAGCATGAGAGAGGGACTCAGAGTCTGTCTGCCCAGAGGCCGTTCCTGTCTCCAGGTCATTCCATATGTCCAGCCAATCCTGGCTCACCCCATGAGCCCTGAAGCCTGTGACACTGCTGTGTCTCAGCTGCAGGAGGTGGGGATGACCTGACACCCCTGGAATACTTCCTGACTGTCCCTAAGCCCCCACTCACATCAAGCCTCCTGCCCCAGTGCCACCCTCTCTGCAGGCAGTGGCTGCTTTCCCCATGGGCTGAGGTCAGGAGGGCAGATCACTGCCTGCTCTGAAAAGGAAGTTCCATGCGGGACCCATGGCTCCAAGCCCAGAAGCACAGCGTTAGTGGCCAGGCTCCATTCTGGCCCCTGTCCTTTGACCATTTGAGCCCTCCCACGGGCCAGACCAGGTACAAAACCATCTCCCAGGTGTCCTCTCTGGCAATGTTCCCCTGAAATATTGATGGAGCGACTCCCCAGACCTCTCCACTCCTGTTTTCAATGCATCTTTGGCTCAAACTCACCATCCCTGGGTTGGCCTCCCCATACCTCCTCTCCTCGACCGTCCCATCCCCCCACCCGGCCTCTCCCCAGGTGCCTCCTCACATGGGGGTCACCCAAGGGACCTAAGACTCGTGCCCCAGCCTGTCCCCCTTGACCTCTCAAGATGGCTCCCAGGCCAAAGGACAAAGTCAAGATGCAGCAGTCCATTCCCTCCCTGCCCCCGCCCCACACACGGAGCAGGGAGGTGTGAGAGAAACCTAGTCACTCCCAGCCAAACACTGGACTCTGTGTGTGCTGGGTGTATAATGGCTGAGCCTAACGTCCTTGCTCCCAGGCTGAGGCCTGGCAGTGAACATGACCATACAGGAGGGTGGCCCGGGCTGTGGTAGAGGGAAGCCCAGAAGCCTGTGGGGGGCCCCAGGTGGCCCCAGACTCAGCCGGGACCCGGGGAGGTAGGGCTTCCTGAAGGGGAGTGGGGGCATCCCAGCTAGAAGCAGGAGGGAGCCAGCCAAAGCATATATATGTGTCTCTGCATATGTGTGTGTGTGTGTGGGTGCCTGTGTGTGTCCTCAGGAAGGAGTTGCTCGGTGCAGGCAGGCCTGTGCCTGTGTGCGTGTGCCTGTATGTGCCTGTGCATTTCAATGTGCCTGTAGTGTGTGCAGCATGCATTAGTGTGCAGGCTGAGCCAGGACACCTAATCCACTATTCAGGCTCACTCTCATGTGTAGACTAAAGGGGACCCCATTTTAGAGCAATCGGCAAAGGATGCCCATTTACCCCTGCCTCTCCGCCAGCCTTCCAGGTCCCATCCAGCCCGGCTTTCTCTCCCATCTCCAGGCCCTGGGTCAGAGCCTCTTGTAAAGGAGGAGGGCGTGAGCGGAAAGACAGCCTCCTTTGGGAATTCTGAGGCCTCCTGTGCCAGGAAGCTGGCCAATGCGCTGACAGCATAGTCACGATGAGCCCAGAGGGCTGTGCACGCAGAGAAAGGAGAGTTGAAGGAGGCCTCTGCCCTCGACCCCAACCGTGGGCGTTTGTAGCCTCTCAGTACTATGGCCCTTTCCTTCCTCCTGGGCGGGCGGAGTGGGTGGCAGGCTTGACCACCAAGAAGAGAGAGAAAGGCCCCTTCTGGGAGGCCCGTCTGGATCCCAGGTGAGCCCCTGAGCAGTGAGCAGTGTGTCCCTCTGGGCCTGACACGCTTTCCTCCCTGTCTGGCTGGGTGGGAGGCCACCGGGACAACTTCTGAGCACCAGGTGTTGCCAGCACTGGGTGGGGGCCTCCCAGGTGGCCTAGGCCTGTGGTGGGGGATTTGGGGTGGGGTCAGGCTGCCCCCAGCTCTCATGTTCGGAGTCCCCAGGTCTCGGCCCTGGACTGGAGCACCTGGCCTCAGCCCCATGGAGGCACTGACGCAGTGCCGGTGCGATGTGAGGGGAGTGGGCACCTGCTGAACAGAAATTGCAGACATCCCCAGGTCTGAGTCTGCCAGTCCCAGCTCTCCACCCTGCAGGGCTGGGCAGAGGAGTACAGGTCCCAGCACCTTCCCTCGAGACAGATTGTATGAAGACTCCAGTCTGTGGCTGGCTTGGGGGCCCGCCCCCGCCTGCCTGCGCTGGGGTTTCCCTGTCTGTGAAGCATGGTAAGACATGGCCCCACCCCACCCTTCAGTGATGTGAAAATTCAAAGGTGTCTGGGCCACCCTCACTGGCCTGTGGCTCTCCTGACACCACAAGAGAGGACAAGGAGTTGACTTTGGGTCCTAATGGGGGACACCTTCCTGGCAGCAGGCTGGCTGGGTGGTGTGGTGGTCAGTGTACTGGGCTCTGCGTCTCCGCCCCTACCTGCTGTGTGACGGTGGGCCACTTAACCTCTCTCTGTGCCTCTGTTTCTTCAATGGTGAACAGGGGCACTAGCAGCCCCCACATCTGGGCACAGTGGCCTGAAGGTTAAAGGCAAGGGTGGCATGAGACCTACAGCAAAAGCTCTGAGCAGGGAGCTGCCCAGGGAGTTCCACCACCATCTCCCCTCTGGCCACCAAGGAAACCGAGGCTCATGGTGACCTGGCCCAGGTCTGTTGGACTCAGGGTCCTTCTCATCCCCAAGATCAGAGGGCTGCCACCAGGGAAGGAGCTGGCCCCTAGACACAGCCCAGGAAGCACACAGGGAAGGATGCCTTGGGGACTTCGGTATGTTATTGCATAAAAAAAAAAAACAAACCTTTATTGCTATTTGACCCCTGCTTTCATGCCTCCATTTCCCAGAAAATGAGCCACGGGAGACACCAGGAGAGGCAGGAGCCCATCCTCCTTGCACAAAACCCACTCCCTCAGATGCTGTCCTCAGCGAGGGTGGCTGGGGGCCAACCTAAGGGGGCCCACCCGCAGAGTGGCAGAGGAGGCAGGTTGACCCTGCGGACGTTGAGCTCTCTGGTGAAGGTCCTGGTCTTCTGGTAGAAGAGCGACTTCTCACGGTCCAGGAGAAAGTTGTAGATGGTGGCCAGCCGCGTGTAGATCTTCAGCTGTGCCTTCTTGTTGCCCAGGTCCATGGTGGCTGCCAGTGCCAGCTTGGTAGTACCTGGCTGCATCAAACGGGTCCTGAAGGGGACAGGCCATGCTCAGCAAAAGGGGGACTCAGAGTCTGTCTTCCCAGAGGCCGTTCTTGTCTCCGGGTCATTCCATATGTCCAGCCAATCCTGGCTCACCCCATGAGCCCTGAAGCCTGTGACACTGCTGTGGTCTCAGCTGCAGGAGGTGGGGATGACCCTGACACCCCTGGAATACTTCCTGACTGTTCTACGCCCCCACTCACCCCAAGCCTCCTGCCCCAGTCCCACCCTCTCTGCAGGCAGTGGCTGCTTTCCCCATGGGCTGAGGTCAGGGCAGATCCTGCCTGCTCTGACAGTTCCATGCAGGACCCGTGGCTCCGAGCCCCAGCAGGGGCACAGCGTTGAGTGACCCAGGCTCCCCTCTGGCCTCTGTCCTTGCTGACCATTTCCAGGCCCTCCACGGGCCAGGCCAGGTACAAAACCATCTCCCAGGTGTCCTCTCTGGCAGTGTTCCCTGAAATATTGACGGAGTGTGACTCCCCAGACGTCCACTCCTGTTTTCAATGCATCTTTGGCTCAAACTCACCATCCCTGGGTTGGCCTCCCATACCTCCTCCTCGACCGTCCCATCCCCCACCCGGCTTCTCCCCAGGTGCCTCCTCCACATGGGGGTCACCCAAGGGACCTAAGACTCAGGCCTGGCCTGTCCCCCTTTACCATTTCAAGATGGCTCCCAGGGCCAAGGACAAAGTCCAAGATGCAGCAGTCCATTCCCTGACTGCCCCGCCCCACACACGGAGCAGGGGCGTGAGAAGGCCCTGAGTCACCGCCCAGCCGAACACTGGACGCTGCTGGGTGTGTGGCTGAGCCTAACGTCCTTGCTCCCAGGCTGAGGGACCTGGGAGTGAACACTGACCATACAGGGTGGCCCGGGCTGTGGTAGAGG